ACTTGGTTAGAAAGAAGATGGAATAAGGAATACACACAGACTCATATACCATCATGCGTAGTGGCAAGGTTGACAAATGACTTTAAATGACATGAATCACACATGATTATACTTAATATATAAAGTTTTGTGATTTTTGAATAGAATTAATTATGGGCATTAGTATTAAAACGTTAACTTATGTGTTTATATATTTACATCTTTGAATATTGATCATATTAAAAGTTCTATGCATCCATGACCTTGATCTCTAGATATTTTATTTACTGTATTCGGAAGACTATTGCCACGATCTTTCGTATAATTCAACTGACGCATCACTAGTTATGCTTTTATCTTTTTATATTTCTATTTGTTTATTTATCTTTTCACGAATGCATGTAACACGAAGCGTATGGCTTGGTGAATGATTTCTGTCTAAAAATATTAAATCTCATTGGACGATGCATGTGGTTGAGCAAAATTATTGATTACAGTATGTTTGCGTTACACCTAATATTTATTACCCTATAAATATGGGGTTTTATAGTAATAAGAGCTTTGGCTATTCGGAGAGTTGCTATAGTCCAAATATTATTAGATTCTTTGGAACAATTTATAATTTTTGAAGATATCAAATAATAATAATCATATTAAACGAAAACATTATCTGATGCTAAACATATAGATGACAACGAGGATATAACAGTTTTTGTCGTATAACCGCGAAATAACGCGCAGGAATGTAATTTCGAATTTTAGCCTAAATTAAATTTAATTCGGGACATTATTCAAAATCACGATTCTGTGCGTTATTTCGCGATTATACGGTACATAATTTTACATTATTATTGTTCAATACAGCACAGGTTTTTTTCGATTTTTAACAGCTGCCCTACCTTGTTTAAAGCGTCGGGAGTGCGTCAAGTGTAACTTGAGGAGAGCATCTTCCTGCGTTGCGAATACAAAGCAAATTTCCAATTATATATATTATATAATTGGAAATTTTCTTTATATTCGCAACGCAGGAAGATGCTCTCCTTATGCAAACTCAAGTTACACTTGACGCACTCCCGACGCTTTAAACAAGGTAGGGCAGCTGTTAAAAATCGAAAAAAACCTGTGCTGTTCAATATCGGAAATTGGTGAGAATACTAAAAGTAAATTTTACATAATTACAATGAAGATTTAAGGAAATAGCAATGTATTTATTGAGACGCTAAGTTATGCTAGCAATAGATATAATGCCTAAACTACTACAGCAATTATTTCTCTTTATGAATTATACTAATGATATAACTCTCCTAATGCTGTATATTTTGCGTTAAATCTTTCCTTTCCTAGAAATTATTGAAGAGCAATTAATAGAAAATTTAAAAATAAAATAGTAATATTGATACAATCATCCCTCGTTAATATCAACCCCGTTAAAATGAATTTCTATATGTAAAAATTATATCAAAACTCCCTCATATATATCAACTTTAAATATGTTTCCTATTAATATCGAATATGAAAGCGATCCAAATAGGCTGATATTAATGAGGGACAACTGTATCTTATTTAAAGTAATTAACATTCAGCTCTACATCCGAAATCATACCTTCCATTCCTGGTTTTGTGCGACAATGTCGCGCAGCTACCTTATTCATATCCACAAACACCTGTACGCGGAGAATTGACAAGATTTGCTAACATATATGTATCATTTTCGTTAACTACACAAGAATGTTTTTCATTACAGTCTGTGCATGTTTTCTCACTGCATAGAGTGCAAATGGTTTCAGCAGGTTTGTTACATATTTCACATGTAAAAGCGGGCGGATCGTTTCTCATCATGAGCGTAATTTCATCGTATGGGCAGGCAGGCAGTGTTGCTATGACGTCAAGCTTAAGATCCGTGGACGATCCCATATCATAGGTATATTCGAATTTCAAACCTGGAGACAAAACTTGACCCATTTTTTTGTTCATCGATTGGCTACCATCTCCTGAAATTGGATGAGATGAATAATCGAGATTACCGATGTAAAATGCGCTCAGATGCCCACAACATTCCAACCAAGTGTCGCGTAAGAGGTCGTCCAACATCCTCAAAGTAAAGTTTTTGGGAACTGTTATATACATCCAATACCAACTTGGAAAGTCGCGTGAAGAAACGCAAATTAAATACCCTTCAGTTGTTGATTCAGAAGGAGTAAAAGTTTCCGCAATGCATTGAAGCAAATGCGAACTTGCTCTACTTTTGCTGTACATTTTGCCACATTGGGCACATGGACCTTTGGTGTTTAAACTCATAGTCTTTGGGTGTTAACAAAAGTAAAAGGAAGACAAATGACAACCAAGTTGTAAAATTACCGTAATTTTACGTAATATAATTATTATGTAATTTGTGATTCACGTGATTGACTGGATCATATCAATAAATTTTACCGTATGCAGTTTATTGTAGTTAAATAAAGTAAAGGCTTTTTCAGCGGTGCTTGTACGTATTGTTACCCTGAATTGATATGTATATATATAACAATATCCCAGTTTGGAAATGTAGAAAGAATTAAATTTGATGTATTGTAGATCAGATAAGTTGTTGAATAACACAGCAGCGATGCAACTGTGGCATCATGAATGTTGTCATGTGTCCCCGCCTTCTAACACTAATCGCATCAAATCCGCGCTACTAAACAATTTCAGAAAGCTTAACCAAACAAACAATAACTTACCGATTAAGTCTTCGAAATTTCTGTTATATATGTATATTTTTTAAACAGTATTTTCTTAACGAATAAAAATATTCATTATAGATCTTAATAATCAAGGCTACTTTAAAGGCGTATTGATCGTTTGTAAGAATCCTGATTTTTTATTATTGCGCCATTGGTGCTTATTATTAGATTTTGAGATCATACTAACTATATATATCTTTCTTTGCCTGCAAAAAAAAAAATCGAATGTAGCGGTATCGTTATATCGTGTATTCTAAATTCGAAAACTATACAGGTTATTGTCTCGAATGATGATCATTTGAGAAATGTTATTTTATTGGTGCTTCAAATGAATGACCAACAAAAGTTTGTGTGAAAAACTTTTTTTTTATATATATAATATTGTTTACTGTAGTAAATACATGGCGGTAAAAGCCAGTACAGCAGTAAGCACATGTTATAGTTAGGTTCAGGTAATTCAACCAACTTTATTATACGATGGCTTAATATAAACAAAATGTTTTATTATGGACACTTGAAAATTGCGATTGTTGGGAAATTTTCTAGGCTAAGGTTAAGTTTGGAGTTGCCGGATTGGTATTACCGGTTTTTCTAGATAAGGGTAAGATCCTTATATTCAGTCATTAAGAATTTAATTGTTACAAGTGTAACTTGGAGTTCATTTGTTTGTCGTATCTTTATCTGGTACGCTTGTCCATTATTGTCGTACTTGAGATTATAATAATAGTACTGTCTTTTTAATTTGTCCAATATATTGTCAGGTAATTTTGAAAGGTCGATTACTTTTGGATATTTTTCCAGTATTGTTGCGACTTTGGTTCTATCTTTCTTTTCAAAGATAGTTAAGTATTTATATCCCATATAGAGATGATCAAAATTCATGAGTTGTTTTTCTATTCGTTTTAACGGTGCTATTTGTTTTTGAACTGAGGTTTTGAATAGTCATCCTCTTTTGATTTGTTTTGTGGTTATTGTTTCTTTATTCATCATAATTTCTTCAAATTCTTCAATTGTTAATGGTGTTAGCTCTTCTTCTTTGGATTCAGAGTCTATTCCTTCAAATAGTTTGGTAAACGTTTTCTTTGGATTTATTATTCTATATTGATGTGCAGTTTTAATTTGGTTTACATATTCTAGTATGGGATAGTCTTCAATTCTTTTGAATATATACAAAAGGTTTTGTAATATAATTGGTACAAGGGGTATCTGTTGTTCTTCTATTTGTTTTAAAGAATAAAGTTTCCATGGTCCTAGGGTTTCTGGTTCAGTATTTTTAGGCATTTCTTCATTGTTTAGTCGAAAGATAAATAGTTCTAATGTTATGAAATATTTTGCTTGTTCTGGTCTACAACCTGTTGCAATCCATTCTTCTGTTGAATAATATGAATTTTCTTGGATTTTTATTAAGTTGTTATTTTTTATTATTAATTCAGATTCTTCAAATATTTCTCTTAAAGCCATTACTTCTATAATTTCATTTGGTATTCCATTCTGGTCTAGTTTTTCTTTTCCTCCCATTCCATTGAATGTTTGGTAAAAGCTTTTGTTTGGATTAATTCGTTCTGCTAATAAAATGTATATTTCTTCTTCTATTATTGTAAATCCTATTGATTGGGTCATTATTCTATTTGGTAATTGATATGGGTCATATAAAAATACTTGTTTATCAAGGTATGCTAAGAGTTCTGGATTCAAGTATATTCCTGAGTCATTTTGTGGCTGGTCCTTCAAGTTTCATTTTTCTTCATATTGGCTTAATTCTTGGTTTAATAGTTCTCCAGTATTCACATTCTCATTCCCAAGTCTTTGCATGTTGATTTCTAAATTTCTCCCAAGTTTGTCCTTCTGATTTCTAGTATTCTCTGCTTATACTTATTCTTGTTCTTTTTCTTCTTAATAGTGTTTATAACTTTCTTGTCTACACTGTTTTTCAAATTCTTCAAAGGGTTTTCCAGTATATGCACTTATGTCTCGATCGTATTGCTAGTTAATTGTTCTCTGAATATTTCTTATTTTCATTGCTATCCAAAGGTAGTCGTCATTTTCATAACAATTATATATTGTCAGGGTTTTTTGTTCTAAGGTTATACTTCTGTAAATTACTTCTTCAAGTTCTGATTCTAAGTCATGTATTAACAGTTTTAATAATTTTAAGGATTGGTTAGTTGTTAATTTTTTGAATATTACTTGTCCTACTTCATGTAGTTTGCTATTAAAGCAATAATATTCTTCAAATAGTAGTTTCGGGTTTGGATATTTCCAATGAGTCATTTAGTTTTTCTAGTATTTTTTATGTTCTTCTTTTATTTCTTCAACTGTTCTTTTATTAAAATTTTTTTCTATATAGAATCTAATTACTATTTGATATATAGAGTCTATTTGGGATTCAAGTCTGCTTTGATAAGTTTCTCTTTGGTTTTCTTTATTTTCATTTTCAGTATATACAAAAGAGTATTCTGGATAATTTATGGTTTTGATTTCAGAAACAAATTTATTGATATAATGGTCTAGCTTTCTGAGTGTATTTATTAGAAAAAAGATAAAACTTGTTTCTTTTCTTTTGAGAAACAAAGAGGTTGTAGAGTATCCTATTCTATTAAACTCTAATCTTAAAATTTCTTTATAATATTCTTCTTCTATATTTTTATATATTTCTTTAAATTTACCACAAGGACAAATACCCTAATATGGTTTGGCTATGTTATTCTGTTAATTTCATCTAGTACTAATATTAAGCAGTAATTTTTATTTGTTCCTTCTTTCAATTATGCACAGGAATATCTGCTGTTTAAGTTTTAGATTTATTTAATTGTTTGTTGGTAAGTTAATTCTATCAATAAGTCTAACTGAATTATCCCTTGTAAGTCTTCAAGATATTCTTTTAATATTTGGGTAGTTTGATTGTGTCGATCACAGTTCTCTGTAGTCATTAAATTCTATTTTAAGTAAGTTTTCTTGCTATTTTATCGATGCGTATTGAATTATTAGTTCTGATATTTTGTTTACTATATAGCACACTCCCACTACTAATACTACGTCTTTTAATAAAAGTATGAAATGTATTGATGCTCTGTCATATGCTATAGCTATTATAGCAAAGTGGTTCATCTACAAAAGAGTTGTGTTTATTAATAGTAATAAAGATAGTTCAATTAATTGTTCCAGGTTGTTATAATTGTTTTAATA